CCCCAAAACCCCAAAACCCCAAAACCCCTAAATAATTCCTAATAATTGAATATAAATGAATAACAAACCCAGTCAGAAACAGCAGAATTCAAAATCTACTAAGAAGAGAGAAAGCAGGTTATACGCATTTTCTTCTCCATCTATCAGAGAACTCAACCCTTTGGGAGCAGATATGATAGCTACGTTAAAAAGTGTCAAAATATTCAAGGAAAGCAAACTTCAAGACGACCATTTTCAGCAAATTATTGAGAACTTGTCTTTTGAGCAGTTAGAAGAAGGAGATTTTGTATTCCATGCTGGAGATATGGGAGATAAATTTTATATGTAAGCTTATTAGTCAATACCAACAGCACTAGTGTTTGCTGATAACAAAGAGCCACTTAACAATATGTGTAGATAATTCTTAAAGGCTCAGTCAAAATCCTTCGGCCGCTTAAGAATGACATTGAATTAGACAAAGTTCTTGAGAATTTGTACACAAATAATCAGGTGAAGATTATAACTCTCGGTATTTCCTCTTCTTACACACAGAAAATAAGGATGGGATTGAAGAGACCAAATATCAAGAACTAGTCACACTCAGCAAGGGAGCACACTTCGGTGAGGTTGCTTTAAGCAAGAGTATTACCCGAAATGCCAGTGTTCGTTGTGAAGAGTCATGCAAATTTGCTGCTCTCAACAAAGACTGTTACAACAAAGTCATCGACAGAATCATGAAATAAGAAAACTAACCAGAAGATTGACTTGATCAAACAAATTCCTTACTTCAAAGATTGGAGTAAAGTTTCTCTCACCAAGTTCTGATATGACCATGAATATTTCAGCTATAAGCGTAAGCAGGTAGTTTTTGAGGAAGGTCAATCTAGCTCATATGTTTACATTGTCAAGGAAGGAGAGTTTGAATTAACCAAAAGTACTTAAAAGGGTGTAATTTCTAGAAATACGGTACCAAAAAGATAATAGAAGAATTTTAAAAGATCTTTTCAAGTCTCACTGTGAAACAAAATATACACCTGTCAGGATTCCTTACCCAGGGTCTTTCCTCAAAGAAGCCAGAAAGAGTATGCATAAAATTACGACAAATATGAAATCAAACATAGCACAGCTTGCTAAATCTAGTTCTTGAAAAATGTCGATCCTAAGTCCGTACCAACTATTCGGCCATGAAGACTCTTTCAGAGGCAGGACTTATTCCACCAGTAATTTATTGCCTAACTCCTAGCATGAACCTGCACAGTAGATGGCATACTCTTTAGGATAAAATCATCGTTCTTCGAGAGAGACATCAGACAATTATCTGAGGGGACTTATGCAAGGATGATAGAAGACGGCATCCAGAAGGAAAAATAAAACTATGGACTTCCTAAATGTACTATTAGTAACAATTTTAGACAAAATCTTACATCCATCAACGAATGAGTAGCCCTGAGATGATCATGAACAGGAAATAGCAACGGGCCTGTCCCTGTCAATCTTTTTGAGTAACTCCATCTAATATATTTTAGTATCTTACCCAAAGAAGGTCTCCACCATGACATTAGACTTGCTCCTTCCAAAAGTGTCATTTTGAACACAAAAAAACCAAAGAGAAAAAGAGCCAAAACTGCTAAATAAGAGAATAACGAGAGAAGTCCGAAAAGCCAGGCCATTTTCTCCTCAAATGAGGAATAAGGCCAACCAAAGTACCCAAAGCAGTAAGTTTCAGTTGTAAAGTTTAGGAATCAATCTCTCTCATAAAAAATCTAAGAAACACCACCTCTCGGTTAGCAGTAGCTTTATCAAGAGTAGTACAAGTTATGTCCCACATAAAAGATTGATCTCTTAAAAAGGTTAGTATTGCCAATTCCATACTTAATCTGACTTTGGTGTAGAAAAGTCATATCCCCACTCATTGGTCAAAGACCATATAGACTCTTTGAGTCCCGAAAATCTACTGCTAATGAGTCATATCATCATACTAGAAATAACTCTTCAGTTAAAGAAACAAGTTGTAGTCATGAGAAGTCCGTTATGCAGCCTTGCCTTGACCTAAGCTTGGTATCGACGAAACTTCAGCTGGGGCAGATACAAAAGAGACGGAAGAGTATTCTCAAAAACATTATGTTGTCACCATCAGTCATCAGCCTGTCTGCTAAAAGTTCGGAGAAGTCCCAGATCTTATCTTACCCTATCTGGCTTTCAAAGGAAGGACGCTATTAAAATTCCCGAAATATAATTTCAACCAGAAGATAGCAAAAAGGGGTTTTGGGGTTTTGGGGTTTTGGGG